AATATTTAAGTAATTTTGTAGTAAAGCTACAAATAGTGTGCATTGTACACCCAAAAAAATAAATAAATAAATAATATATATATATAAAAACAATGAAAATAATTTTTTTGAGTTTATATTTTGAACCCAAATTAAAAACTTGAGGTTCCCAATTTATAAACTAAAAAATTTGTCAAACAAAGTTTCTATGATTATTTTTAAAATTTTCATAAATATAATATGATTATTTTTTTCTTTTTTTTTGTTACCATTATGTGTGATTAGCTATGTGGATTGTCATGTACTTAGCTAATATAAAATGACAAAGAAATTTTGAGATAAATATACTAGCATTGCTTAATCCAAAATTACAATCTATTTTAATTATTTTGAACATAAGTCAGAAAATATTAGAGACACATAAAATATTATAAATAATCACGAAGTTGCAAGTGGACGATATTTTTGCTTATGAAAATGTCCAGTCTGTGACCTGATTTGTCAGTTAGTTTTCAGTGCTTTCAAAGAGGAAATTTCTTCTCTTTTTTTTTTTGGTATGAAAAAGGGGAAATTTCAAAATAGTGTAATAGATATATAAAAAAAAAATTATAAAAATATGTAGAGCTCAAGTAATTTTGTGATGGTGTACAAGTAAAAAGTTATATTTACATCCTTTCATATTTGTGTAAAAAAAAAAAAAAATCTCCCACTAGAGTATAATTCCTCCTTTCAAAAAAACACAAACAAAAATAAATTTTGAAGATGAAACTAAATAAAGGGTGGATTCATTAATTGAAATTGGACCCCAAGAGCTAGCAGACACCTCTGAAAATAGTGGAAATCGAGTTGATTTAGACAACGTATAGTCATGTTATAATAATGGGCATATAATTTTATGTTAAATGATTAAAAAATAAGAGACAACATATAATGCGATAATTAGTAAAAGAAGAGCCGGCATGTTATGTAATAATTAACGAAAGAATATAAAAAGGTGGTGCTCTAGAAGAACCCAATAATTTTTCTCCAATCATTATTGAATGAAAATTCTATAACAACAGTTCTATGAACTAAAACAAAGACAATCCGACAAAAGTCTAGAATTTGATAGTGTGGTCTCACATGACAGCCCACTTCAAACTAGAGACTTTTAAGAAAGGAAATATATATATATATATATATATATAGCATTCTAATTAATTAACTTATCAATGCAGTTGATAAATTTTTTGATAAATTGAGGAAGCTACCTAAACTTATTGCTCCTAGTTAAATGGTTGTTTTCTTGTTAAGTAGTGTCATAACCAAGAAAAAGAGTGGGTAATACCATTTATTAACTAGGGGTGCCATACCAATTAAAAAAGCTAGGGCTATCTTTAATAAAGAATTGTATACTAGATTAAAAGTGCCATATATTAGTAAGGTTTTATTAATTGGGCATAAGTGTGTAGCCCCTAGTAGTCTCTTTGTCATTTCGTCCCTGTTAACAGTATATATTTAACATGATTAATTAGATTAGCTCAATTAATTATTCATATATAAATCTAATTAAAAGATAAAGAGATCAATGCTTAGTAAATGCAAAATTGATAATTTCTTTTTTATCATAAGATTTTGATAGTATCTTCCTTATCATAAGAGCTATAGCATTTTCAATGCAAGTATCACATTGATAGCATTTTTTTCAATGTAACTATCACAATTTATTATTTGGCTACATTTGTATCTTCCTCTTTCACAAGGAGAATTTTATTAAGTCACAATTCATGACTTGTAGGACTCGCGTGCAATGACTTTACAACTCCACTTTTTCACTTTTACGTACTGAAAGATGCCAATCTTATCTTATTTGCATAAAACAAAAAAAAAATAAGGTAAATTATCAATAAGTACTAATAGTTGAACCCAGGGATGAGTGGTAATCTGGTAAGGGCCTGGGATTTAAGCCTCTAGGTCCTGGATTCAACTCTCCTCTGGGCCAATCTCCTAGGCGTAGCATAGTTGGTTAGGAGGTTGACCTCAAGGATGCCTTATCAGCTACTTGGTGTGGGTTTAATTCTCTCCCGCTATGCGAGTCTTGACTTAAGCGGAGCTTGCCTTGGGAGGTCGGGACAAGCTTCCAGGTTATGGGTTTAATTCTCTCCCGCTGTGCGAGTCCTGACTTAAGCGGAGCTTGCCTTGGGAGGTCGGAACAAGCTTCCAGGTTATAGTCTCTTACTCGGAACGGACAATAGGACACCCTGGTGATCTCCTCAAGGGGCGCACGGACAATAGGACACCCTGGTGATCTCCTCAAGGGGCACTGCCTTGGACCTGCGGGAGAGTGGGAGGATTTTCCTGTAACAAAAAAAAAAAAAAAGTACTAATAGTTGAACTTAATTCTCATTAAGTCCTATTAAAAATAAGTTTGTTTTATATGACTTAAAATTTTTTTAAGTTTTAACTTACATTTTAAGAGGCACTTAAATTTTTAAGTAATGTCAGTTATAGTATCAAACGGATTTAATTGATTATTACTTAATACATTCAATTTTAAGTGCTGAATAATGTTATCAAACATCTCCTAATAAATAGACTTTTAGAGACAAAATAATTTGGTGTAAAAAAGATTTATTTTTTAGACAAAAAATTTAGTCTCAAAAAGATAATAATCCATCGCTAAATATCTAATTTCGTCACTAAATGTACGACACTAATACTTTTGACTATTAAAATATTTTGCCTTGGAAAAATGATTTTATCCCTAAAATTTTTACCCAAAATCCTAATTTGTAGTGACAACACGAAAATTTTAGACACAATAAAACGACTACGAATGAGTCAGGACAAAGAGACATCAAATTTTGGATAAATTACACTTGTAGTTATTGTAATTTGCACATAGCGTCAATTTGGTCATTGAATATTAGTTGCATCAAATTTACTTTTAAAATTTTTACGTTTTGACAATTTAGTTCAATTGATAACATCCTTTTAGAAACTATACTGAAATCAATATACAAAATAAGAATAAAAGACAGTTTTAATGTCCAAAGTATGCTTTATTTTTCATTTTAATCATTTAAGTTTTAATTTTGTCATTTTGGTCCTCAAATTTATCAATTTGAATTAATTTGGTACTAGGTCTAACATCTGCCTACTTTGATAACATGAATATGAATAAAAGATAATTTTGGTCCCTAAAGTATGCATTTATTGTCATTTTAATCCCTCAAATTTTAAATTTGTCATTTTAGTCCTCATAGTTGTCAATCTAAATCAATTTGATCCTACCTCAAACTGGCAATTTTTAGGACCGAAATAACAAAATTTAAAACTTGAGGGATTAAAATGAAAAGAAATATAAACTTTAGGGATCAAAACTGTCTTTTATTCAAAATAAAATACTTTTTTCCATTATCAATGTAAACAGATGTTATAGATAAGACTAAAATTGACTCAAATTAACAAATTTAAAGACCAAAAAGACAAAATTAAAACTTAAGAGATTAAAATGACAACGTATACTTTAATAATTAAAATTGTTTTTTATCTTACAAAACAAACTATTCACCCTCCTCAAAGTGCTTGAAAGGTTGAGATCCCATTTTAAATGAATCATTTTATTCTTGATTTCTGTCTAATTTTTTAATAGATGTTATCAACTAAACTAAATTGATACAATATAAAAATAGTAAAAAGAAAAGTTAATAAAATTAGAACAACAAAAACCAAATTAAAGCAAGAGACAAATTACATCCATCACTGATATGATTTGTCCATTTTTTTTTGACACAGCATGCTCTTACCCTAGGAAAGCAGAGAGCAAATTTGTTTACAATCTCAAAAACTGTATGAAAGTTATTCTCCTTATTGGCTTGTTCGGATAAAGTAAGCCTCACTTGTAACTTAACTAGAGCTGTACAAAAGGAACATAGTTAAATAAGAGGTCTTTCTTTTAATTCTGATTATCTTCTTTTTGCTTTGATTTATGAAACTAACTAGAGTTGAAAAGAAGACCATTTATGTGATTATGTTTCTTTTTCACAACTCCAATTAGGTTACGAAGAGTAACCGTTAGTAAGGATAGTAGGAATGTAGAAATAGCCCGTGATCTAAGGTGGGCTCAATCCGTTTAGGCTCGTTTAGGCCCGGGTCAGAGTCCAACCCTGGGCCTGGGCCATCATTTTGAAGCCTAGTCCACCTGGCCTGGCCCATGACCCAGTCTATTGGCCCGCAGAAAGCCCACTCAAGGCCCGGCCCAAGGGCCAGTGTCTTTTTTAGTGAAAAATAATAAAATTTTAATAGAATAAAATTTTTAAAAAAAATATATGGTTAGGCCCACCCAAGCCCGGCTCAAGCCAACTGTCTTTTATTCAAAATAAAATACTTTTTCCATTATCAATGTAAACGGATGTTATAGATAAAACTAAATTGACTCAAATTAACAAATTTAAAGACCAAAAAGACAAAATTAAAACTTAAGAGATTAAAATGACAACGTATACTTTAATAATTAAAATTGTCTTTTATCTTACAAAATAAACTATTCACCCTCCTCAAAGTGATTGAAAGGTTGAGATCCCATTTTAAATGAATCATTTTACTCTTGATTTCTGTCTAATTTTTTAATAGATGTTATCAACTAAACTAAATTGATACAATATAAAAATAGTAAAAAGAAAAATTAATAAAATTAGAACAACAAAAACCAAATTAAAGCAAGAGACAAATTACATCCATCACTGATATGATTTGTCCAATTTTTTTTGACACAGCATGCTCTTACCCTAGGAAAGCAGAGAGCAAATTTGTTTACAATCTCAAAAACTGTATGAAGGTTATTCTCCTTATTGGCTTGTTCGGATAAAGTGAGCCTCACTTGTAACTTAACTAGAGCTGTACAAAAGGAACATAGTTAAATAAGAGGTCTTTCTTTTAATTCTGATTATCTTCTTTTTGTTTTGATTTATGAAACTAAGTAGAGTTGAAAAGAAGACCATTTATGTGATTATGTTTCTTTTTCACAACTCCAATTAAGTTACGAAGAGTAACCGTCAGTAAGGAAAGTAGGAGTGTAAAAATAGTCCGCGGTCAAGGTGGGCTCAATCCGTTTAGGCCCGGTTAGGCCCGGCCCAAGCTACACCTAACAGGCCAACCTTCTGAGTTGGACTATAAGAGACTTCATAAATAAAACAAAAGAGACGGCAACCCATATCAATCTCTCCATTTACTTCAAGCTAAATGGCCATGGCTTCCCAAACTCAAAAGCTTCACTTCATTTTGTTCCCTTTAATGGCCCATGGCCACATGATCCCCATGATAGACATAGCCAGATTACTGGCACAACAAGGTGTTATTGTCACCATAGTCACCACACCACTCAACGCTAATCGGTTCACAACAGTCATTGCTCGAGCACAACAATCTGGACTCCAAATCAAATTTCTCCAACTCAGATTCCCATGTCTCGAAGCTGGACTGCCTGAAGGGTGTGAGAACCTCGACAAGGTCCCTTCGCCTGACATGGCTCAGAAGTTCTATGCTGCAACCAGTATGTTACAACCACCATTGGAACAACTGTTTGGTGAGTTAAAACCAAACCCAAATTGCATAATCTCTGATCAGTTTTTGCCATGGACAAGTGATGTTGCTCAGAAATTTCATATTCCTAGGCTTGTTTTCCATGGAACCTGTTGTTTTTCTCTGTTTTTGTCACATAATATACGGACCCACATGGTGTTTGATGAATATAAAGCGTTGGAGGAGTCAGAGTACTTTGTTGTGCCCGGCTTGCCTGACCGAATCGAGCTAACCAAAGCCCAGCTTCCGGCTTCTGCCAATCCGAGCATATGGGGTTTGAATAACATTCGTGAAAAGATAAGGGAGGCGGAGAAATCAAGGTATGGGACTGTGGCTAATACTTTTGAGGAGTTGGAGTCAGGCTATGTGAAAGAATACCAAAAGGCCACAGGAAATAAAGTTTGGTGCATTGGACCTGTTTCGCTATGCAACAAAGACAAGTTAGATAAGGCCGAGAGAGGTAACGAGTCTGCGATTGATGCACACCATTGCTTGAATTGGCTTGACTCACAACAACCAAGAACTGTAGTCTATGTTTGCCTCGGAAGCCTCTCTCGCCAAGCGCTTTCGCAGATGATAGAGATTGGGTTGGGGCTAGAAGCATCAAACGAGGCATTCATTTGGGTCATAAGGGATAAAGTAGAGGAATTGGAGAAATGGAATTTGGAAGACGGGTTCGAAGAGAGGACCAAAGATAGAGGCCTTTTGATCCGCGGTTGGGCACCGCAAGTACTGATATTGTCACACTGGGCAATTGGGGGTTTTGTTACGCATTGTGGGTGGAACTCGACACTAGAAGCGATATGTGCAGGCGTGCCAATGACCACATGGCCTATGTTTGGAGAGCAATTTTGCAATGAGAAGTTAATTGTGCAGGTTTTGAGGATTGGAGTGAGTGTTGGTGTGGACGTTCCTACAAGATGGGGAGAGGAGGAGAAAGTAGGGGTGTTGGTGCATAAGGATAATGTTGTGAAGGCCATAGGCAAGTTGATGGATGGAGGAGAGGAAGGAGAGGAGAGAAGAAAAAGAGCTAGACAGCTTGGGGAAATGGCAAAGAGGGCAATGGAAGAAGGAGGTTCTTCTCACCTCAACATGGCAATGCTAATTCAGGATATCATGGAAAATGCAACTTCTAGGCAATGAGAGAGAGAGAGAGAGTACTATTGTTGCACCAAGGATCCTCTAGGGTGTTTTTTTCCTAAAGTTTTCTAAAGTGGTGTATTGTGTGGTTGAGATTTAATGTTAAAAAATGGATGTGACTTGTCATTAAATCTCAACCACACAATGCATCACTCTAAGAAACTTTAGGAAAAAAAAATTTTAAATTATCCTTGCTCATGTCAAAGTTATAGTTCATTGCTATGGAATTTGCTAAATAAAATTTATCATTCATGTCATATTAAAACTTACATGGATTTTTTGGTATGATTTTTTGGCAAGATTGTGATGCTGGCCATCACTCCTTAGATGTTTATGAGTAAAGCCGGTAAGTATCTATTCGATTTGTCAAAATTAAATGATCCGAATCAATCTGTCACAAAATTAGCAATTTCAATATTCTAAGTGAACAAATGAGGATTAATTTTTCCTAATTCGTCTAAGTTCGGAAGAATGGTGAATGGGAGATCATTCAACCCAACTCAATTTGCAAGCACTCCTATTTATGGGTAATACAATTAAATTGTTTTGTAAAATTGTGATGTTAGTCAAGGCTCCTCTAATTCAGTCAGGGACTCTGATTGATTTTTTTTTTTTTTTTTAACCCCAATTTTTATTGTAGTTCATTGTCTAAATATGGGTTTAACTCTCACAGTCCCTCAAAAATGCCTTAGTAGTCAATCTAATTTATTGAATTCGTTAATTTTTTTATTTTTTATGATGCTCATTTCTAATTAATAATGGTAGAATAAGTCACGGAGTGGGGAAATTAAAATAGAGGAAGCACTTTACACCAAAAGGCGACAGGAAATAAAGTTTGGTGCATTGGACCTGTTTCGCTATGCAACAAAGACAAGTTAGATAAGGCCGAGAGAGGTAACGAGTCTGCGATTGATGCACACCATTGCTTGAATTGGCTTGACTCACAACAACCAAGAACTGTAGTCTATGTTTGCCTCGGAAGCCTCTCTCGCCAAGCGCTTTCGCAGATGATAGAGATTGGGTTGGGGCTAGAAGCATCAAACGAGGCATTCATTTGGGTCATAAGGGATAAAGTAGAGGAATTGGAGAAATGGAATTTGGAAGACGGGTTCGAAGAGAGGACCAAAGATAGAGGCCTTTTGATCCGCGGTTGGGCACCGCAAGTACTGATATTGTCACACTGGGCAATTGGGGGTTTTGTTACGCATTGTGGGTGGAACTCGACACTAGAAGGGATATGTGCAGGCGTGCCAATGACCACATGGCCTATGTTTGGAGAGCAATTTTGCAATGAGAAGTTAATTGTGCAGGTTTTGAGGATTGGAGTGAGTGTTGGTGTGGAGGTTCCTACAAGATGGGGAGAGGAGGAGAAAGTAGGGGTGTTGGTGCATAAGGATAATGTTGTGAAGGCCATAGGCAAGTTGATGGATGGAGGAGAGGAAGGGGAGGAGAGAAGAAAAAGAGCTAGACAGCTTGGGGAAATGGCAAAGAGGGCAATGGAAGAAGGAGGTTCTTCTCACCTCAACATGGCAATGCTAATTCAGGATATCATGGAAAATGCAACTTCTAGGCAATGAGAGAGAGAGAGAGAGAGAGTACTATTGTTGAGTATATGAAGTTTTCTGAGTATTGGAAGGCTAGCATGTCAAAGTTATAGTTCATTGCTATGGAATTTGCTAAATAAAATTTAACATTCATGTCATATTAAAACTTACATGGATTTTTGGTATGATTTTTTGGCAAGATTGTGATGCTGGCCATCACTCCTTAGATGTTTATGAGTAAAGCCGGTAAATATCTATTCGATTTGTCAAAATTAAATGGTCCGAATCATTCTGTCACAAAATGAACAATTTCGATATTCTAAGTGAACAAATGAGGATTAATTTTTCCTAATTCGTCCAAGTTCGGAAGAATGGTGAATGGGAGGTCATCCAACCCAACTCAATCTGCAAGCACTCCTATTTATGGGTAATACAATTAAATTGTTTTGTAAAATTGTGATGTTAGTCAAGGCTCCTCTAATACAGTCAGGGACTCTGATTGAGTTTTTTTTTTTTTAACCCCAATTTTTATTGTAGTTCATTGTCTAAATATGGGTTTAACTATCACAGTCCCTCAAAAATGCCTTAGTATTCAATCTAATTTATTGAATTTGTTATTTTTTTTTTATTTTTTATGATGCTCATTTCTAATTAATAATGGTAGAATAAGTCACGGAGTGGGGAAATTAAAATAGAGGAAGCACTTTACAATTTTAACTTTTTTTTTCATGATCAAAACAATAAGATTGTTGAATATAAAAAATTGAGAAGTCAAGGGCACGTGACCGCGTTGGGTAGAAAAATTATATTTATATTGTTTAAATAAAAAAAATTTTGAAACACACCTTCTTTGACGTTTTTGAAATGTGTCCTACTATATACACATTTAATTATAATTTTTGTATCTTTAATTATAATTCATTATGTTGTTAATAATAATATTATTTTAATTATGATTCAAAAATTATTTAATTATATCTTAAATAATAATTTCTTTTTTATTTTTTATTTTTAGTTATAATTCCCATGGCGTGAAACCAAGACACCACATCTGGTGGCGTGGGCTGAGAGGTTTCTCCCTGATGATACTGTCAAGGATGTTACTCCGACACTAAAATGCTTATCGAGTAATGTTTGAGAAAAATAGTTAAAAGTTTTTTTGATTTTTAATTAGATTTTTTGATTTTTTTAGAAAGTAATTTGAAAAGTTAGTAAAAAATTACTTTTGATTTTTTTGGTTAATAATTATTTATGATATCACATCACAATCAAATTATCAAAATATCTCTACCCAATTTAAGAAATTTTTACCTTCATTAATATATAACCCTAAATAATATAAAGAATATAATTATGTTTAGAAAATGTTTGGTAGTTCAAAATTTTGTGGCTCAAATAATTTAAATCTATCAAAACAACGTCATTTTACACTCAAAATCTATCAAAACGATATCATTTTAAATAATTTAAACCATTTGAATCACAAAATTTTAAATTACTTAATTTTACAACTTGCTTTTTTAGACTACCCAAATCACTTCTTGTTAAAAAAGTGAAGCTAGCTTTTTTATCCTAAGCTACAAATGCAGCTTTTAGCTAGTGTTCCCAAAAGAGCACGTGGTTGCCAAGATGTTCATAGCCGGGCAAGAGGATTTGACGTGTCAAATTAATTTGTAATTTAATATTTTATTTTAAAAATTAAAAAATTAATAATTTATACTAAAAAATTTAAAAAAAATTTCTCTTCATTTTTTACACATTTATTTATAAAAAAATTAAAAATTATTTTAAGTATACTAATTTTTTTTATCTTATATTTTAATTAAAAAATTATTAAAAAAAATTATTCTCAAACGAGACAGAAAAAATTATGAAATTTTTTGCACGTGGTTGTGGGTCCACATGCAAGTGGAAAAAAAATTCCAATCATAGAGGGTGACTTCTAGTATTAGATTCTAAATAGCTAAGGTTTCATAGATTATCTTTAACTGGTGTTACATAATGAGTATTTAGGAAATGATTACTTTTTAGGTGTTTTTTACTATTTGACTATCAACAATGATAGAGATCATTAATTTTGGAACTCTAAAAAGACCACTAATGACATGACACTCAATAAAAAAAGAAAAAAAATACAACACTAAGGTCAAAATATCAAATCATTCCTGGTGGGACTCACTGCCACATCATTAGTGATAGCACTAATTAGTGCTCTCACTCATTTTCTTTTGACTATTTTAGTAGATTATAAGAGTTTGTGTTTAGGAAGATGGGGTCAATTTTTTTGTTAAATTGTTATATTCAAAAATGTGTTTGAAATGATGGTATCATACAAAATGACCAAAGCACTCCTAAACAAAAAAAAAAATATTGTGCTCGCTGACGTGGCAGCGAGGACACTTCCAATGGCAATTCTTTTACAATTTATTATTATACAAATATTTGTTTGTAAGAAATTCAAAATCTACATATTAGGAATTAAAAATAAATTTTCAAATTTGTAAGTAATTGGTATATTAACTAGTGTACCAATATACTTTATGACATTACTATTGATCATACCCAGTATACAAATTATAAATACCTAAAACTTCTAAAATTATTGCTAATCATCTGTTAGTATACAAATTTATATATAGCATTATTTATTTGTAAGATAGTTTACTTGTAATAGTAAGATAAGAATTTTTTTTAAAAAAAATGACAAATTTCTTACGAATTTGACTTTTAATTCTAAAAACTACGAATTAAAATAAATTACAAATTTGGGCAACATTTGAATTTTTATTATAAAATTTAGGAATTAGAAATTTTTTGTAAAATTGTAACAAATTTCAATTATCCTTACACAAATTACAAATTAAATAAAATTATTAGTCAAATTGCCTACAACTTTGACTTTTAATTATAGAAATCATGAATTAAAATTAATGACAAATTTGTAAGAAATTTTACTGTTACTATTTAAAAATTACGAATTAAATTATTAAATTGGTAACTTTGTCAAAAATTTGACTGTTAATGTTTAAAAATTATGAATGCAAATAAATTACAAGTAGCCTACAAAAACCAAATTTTTAGCATAGAAATTACAAACTAGAAAAAAAAATGTAATTTTTTGTAAGAAATTTGACTTTCAATTATACAAATTACGAATTTAAACAAATGCCAACTTTGTACCAAATTTAACTTCTAATTCGTAAAACACTTTTTGCAGTGGGTGCGAGAGATAAGAGATGAGAGAGTGTAAAACAAACCTTTCTGGAGAGTTATGAGTTTGCTGTTTAGTCAAAGGGTAAAATAGTCTCTTCATCCTCTAGATAGTAGAACTGTAGCCTCAACAACAGTGAGGCTGAATGGATTTTTTCCTCCGATAGGCTAAAATAGCCTAACCCAACATTTCCCAAACACCATCATAGTAAGATTACTCAATCATATAATAGTAAGTTATGGACTCGTACATAGGTAAAGATTTAAATTCACACTCCTAACATTGGAAACAGTTCGCTTAAACCTGAAAAATTTATCCTACCAATCCTATATAATTATCTGAATAACAGATCTCAAAGAGAATAAAACTTAGGAGTTGTTTGAGATGATCTATATAAATACACTTTTTGACTTTTTAACTAAAAAAGTAGAGAGAAAAAAAATGTATGTTGAAATAACTTTTTGACTTTTTACGAAAAAATGTGTAATAAAATATTGTATCAAATATTAAAATT